AAAACAAAACAAAAAACAAGGACTCACAACTAATTCTTCTTAAACCCTTTATAAATATAGAAAGAATTTCAAATATATCTGACTATTATCAAAGTTGACCAAAAACAAGAGAGATAATAAGACAGTTAATAAGACAATTTCTCTGAAGTTAGGTGAGAAAGTCTTTAATGGAATGCAAACCAAAGTCAACAAAACATTAAAAGTATCAAACATCATTTTCTCTTCAAATGCATGTCAAGGATGCAAGGCCAGTCAATCAACATGACACAACATTGTAGTGGGTAGCCATTCCAGCTTGGTTCTGGAAGTTCCAACCCCCATTGAGACTCTGGCAACTGTCACGCCTACGAGGTGGGGCGAGGGGAGGTGCCGGGGGACCCTAGAGCTGGATGGGTCAGCGCTCTCGCTGGGCGCTCTCTCGGTGCCGGGACGCTGACCGGTGCAGATTGACTGTGCAGAGCTCCGGAGAACACCGCTGGACTGCGTTACACCTTCCCCAGACCCTGCGACCTACCCATTACTTAATTTGTGAGTTACGCCATTAAATAAATATCCTTTTAACTACGTGGAGTGGCCAAAATAATTTCTCCAATACAACATGTTAGCCAAAGTAAGAGAGCGAGAAAAAATGGATAATCTCAACATGTTAAAAAGCATTTACAACCTAGGACTAAAACAAAATAGATATTGTAGGGTCTCATCCCAATACAATAAAGGACATGTGTAAAAAGCCTACAGCTAAAATAATAATCAATAAACTTTCAAATAATTTTCCTCTAAGTTTTGGAAAAGGCACAGATGTTCACCCTAATCATTTGTTCACCAGGTTCTTCTCCATCTAGTCAGAGTAGCCAAAGAGAGAGAAGTGGGAGGGAAGGAAGAAGGCAGGACTATGCTCCTCTTGATCTGTTTTTGTCTCCACCCCATCATGTCCTAGGTCCCCCACTTTTGTTTTTACTTTCCAGGTGCTATGACATAAACACACTGAAGGAAAAAAGGCATCCCATATTTATGTAGTAAACAGTTCACTCTAAGTATGAATTGGTTTTGCTTATCGACTATAAATTTGAGAAAAAGAACATGAAAGGGGACATCTACTCCAGAGTTTTTCTGAATCTTAGACCTTATATAAATAGGAATTACTAAAGTATTAATGAGTACTAAAGAGTCATACAGATCAAATACTCTGAATAGGCCCTGCCTTCTTTCATGAATGCTAATAAGGAAGGGCATATGGGTACCTATCCCCATGTCTGTATTATATTCCAAGGATGCTCTGGAGAAGGAGACAAAGACGATCTGGAAGATGTCCCTATACATCCTCTTTATGGGTAGTTGTCAACAAAAGCTCCCCTAGATTGTGTCCTTGCCATTTGGGATATCTTTGATCCATGGGTTCTCTTTATTTATTTATTTGTTCGTTTGTTTAGTGCATGGGGGGGCTCTATTTATTTATTTATCTATCTATCTATCTATCTATCTATCTATCTATCTATCTATCTATCATTTATTTATTTAGTGCACAGGGCCTGGCCTATAAAGGTGTCCTTTACTGAGAAACACATAGTGAGTAACCAACAGGGTAGAAAGTTTCCACAACCGGAAGCTGACCTGGCATGAATTAAGAGTCAAATTGTTTTTTAGTGGATGAGACCCATGTTACAAGTTCCAGTATTTCCTACATACTTTGCAATCCCTGCCAAGTGCTGTCAGTAAAAGAATCACCTTCAGGATTCAGAAAAGTCTCCATTGACAGCTGAGGGGCAGACTGGGTGAAGCAGAAAGCACTCATTTCTAGGGCCAGGAGAACAGAAGGTGTTCAGATCTGGGGCTCTGCAGTCAAACTGCCATGTTCTGAGTACCTGGAATTAACATGCGAGGTGCTGGCTTCCTCTGGTTAAAACGGAGTATGTAGCATCTAATTTTACTTTCTCTGATCCTGCTTTTCCATCTCCAACATCAAGCCCTTGGCCTGACACTGGCCTGGCCTCTGTGGCCAGGGGATCTCCAAGAGAGTAGAGGATTCTTGGTGGCTGAGGGTCTTTGCAGGAGTCTGCTTTTTCTCCCAACTAGATACTCTCTACTCTGCCAGGGATGGCTTTACATCTCTCCCCTTATACAGATACCCTCTCTGTGACTGCTTTCAAGTATAAGTGCTACTTGTGGCAACCTTGAACCCTTGGTATGATGGCCATGTAGTGAGATCTAATAGGGAAGGTGGCTATACATAGCCAGTTTTTGTAATGGTTGATAAATATCAGTGGCCTGAATACAGGCTGAGTATGTCTGAAACTCTGCTTGCCAAATCTAAAAGTACCCATGACCTGCATGTAACTTCTTTTAGTTGGGTGACATCAGACTCTGGGCCAAGTCACAGGTGTGAACCTCTCATAACCAATTATCTCCTGAAAGGTCTCCAGCCTGTTTGTCTGGAATCAGATAGGAAAGAGATAGGCACCAGAGGCAAATCTGTGAGAGAGGGCCAAGCCTGCTTGTCAGCTATGGCAGCTGTGACTAATGTGAGACCAGTACCACTGAGGTAAATCTGATGTAAAGTATTTCCTATGATTCAGCAGAGACTATGATCCAGAGGGGCCAAGGCTGCATCTTTTTCTGTCAGCCAAACTTGGTAATGTCTAAGAGTCTCCCACATGGTACTGGTTTTGGTGGCATAAAAGCCAAAGGAAATGCCATGATTGTGTGATGACCAGATGTGCTGTGTGTGCTCTGGCAGGGAGAGCCAGAGAAATAGAGTTGCCCAAGTCCTTTAGAGCCCAAAAGTACATGAGTGAATCCTAGATATTGGATGGACATAGAACTGTTTACAGTGTCGGACTTCAGTTTTCTTGTGAAGTGGTTCTGAGTGTGCCCTAGTTCTTTCCTCTTAGATTTAGAATTAATAGTCAGACAGTTTCTGCAAGTGACTAGAATTTCTGAATTGGTAGGTGGATGGGGTCTGAGAATGAGGAAGATCAATCTTGACTCTTGGGCTCCCTTAGTAGATGAATGGGCTAATGAGCCTGAGCCTATCTGCCTCCTTTCTGCATCAGACTGTCTTTAATACTGTGACTGATCATTAGATCATGCCAGGCAAGTGCAGAGCAGGACTCAGAACACAGGTAAATGGGGCTTCTGGTTTCCCTCAGAGCTTATTGTGGTTCATGAAAAGAGGAAACTGGGAGATGGTAGTGGATCAGGCCATGGGTAAGGTGTGGAAAATGCATACTTAGTCTGATTTGCCTATGGGACAGACTAGTGCACACAAACATTCTCTGCTGACAGACTGGACATGCCCATCTAGGTGAACTAGGGAATGAAGTGAGAGAGCAACAACTCTGACCCAAGGCTTCTCTCTTTGCTTATTTCTCTGTCTCCACCTTGTTGCGGATGGAACAAACTCATTCTAATAAAGTGATCACTTAGCTAACTTTTCAAACACTGGGCAGAATTAGAATTGCATCCTTAGACATTCAAACAAACAAAAACCCTGACTTATTATGGTGATATTTTATTTGTACTGAAATGTGATTTTATTTGTATGTTAATAAATAAAGTTGCCTGGGAGTCAGAGCTAATAGCAAGCCATTGTAGAAGCCGGGCAATGGTGGCGCACACCTTTAACCCAGATCACATGACAGACAGATCTCTGTGTGTTCAAGGATACAGCCAGCTTGGAGACACATGCCTTTAATCTCAATACCAACCATAGAAGACCTGGAGGTCTGTATAGACAGGCGGTGAGGAGGTCATGTGGTTGGGTTTACAACCAATGAGAAGGCAGAACAGAAAGTCAATAAAAAGGACAGACACACAGGAAGTAGATCTCTTGCTGAGAATGACAGCAGCGGCAGTGAAGGGTAAGGATTTTAGCTCTTAGCTATTGCTCTGACCTCTTGGGCTATTAACTCTACATTTGGCTCTGTGTTTCTTATTTAATAAGACTGTTCATCTACAACTTATTTCTTTTTCACAAGTCATAAAGAATAAACTCTTTATTATGACAGTATAACTATATTTTCCATTATATTATTTTAAATCAGAATTTAAACAGATCATATGAAAGATAAGTATGCAACCTTCTCTGACTACTTAATCCTATAACAATATACCTGTTACCTATATCAACTTGGTTCTGTCATTTGTTTATTGCTATTATAGAAATAGAAAATATTGTGAAATTAAGACTTCATAGTAACTCCTATATAACTTTAAAAAATAATTCTGCCAATTACTATCCCTTTGATTGACACCAGGGAATGAACTCTCTGTGGGGTTAGTCCTTGGGTGAGATGAGCAGAAGAGAGTTCATTTCACCTCACTAATATGTTCGGATCAATAAAGAAATTCCTAAATCCATCTTCCATAGGCTTTATTGATATTATCTCTGAAAGAATGAAGAACAGTAAATACCATTTTGAGGTGCTCAATAAATATGGATTTGTAAGTGGAGGCCAGCCATGAATATGAAAGACAGAAAGGAGGGCTGTAAGAGAAACACTGGAGAGGGAGAAGAAAAGAGGGAAATGATGAAATTATATTATAATCTCAAAAAAAAAAATCAATGACACAATAAGTAAAAATTTTAAATACTAAAAAGTGTGGATGCAATTTTTTACTAGTATCACACAACACATTTAAACTTTCTGCAAGTATAACTAAAGTTTTTTTAAATATACATAAAACTTAGAAATAGGTTTTTACCTATTTGTTTATATTCTGTATGCATATATCTCCTTTGCTATACGCCTCCACTTACTTCCTTTTGAAAAAAGGCATGGTCCTGATATGCCCTGGGGCATTTCCTTTTAGGCATTCAGACTCACCTATATTCATTCACATATCCTTCTTGTTAGCAGAGTTGAAAGAAAACAGGTACAGAGGCCCAATTACAGACTCTCAGCCACAAATGCAAAAGAACCACCAAATATCTCCACCAAAAGGCATGTTCACTGAAATCACTTAGATCATAAATCATAAATAATGTATTATATATTACTTACCCGGTTTATACTGCTGTTCCCTAAAATAGCCTGAAGTAGAGTTTTCTCAAATTCTTCCAACTTCTTTGAACATTTTTTAAGAATATGATTAGAGAAATTAAAATCACTCGCCAGTCTAGCTAATGTAGCAACAGCTTCCGTCCAAAAGCTTGAGAAAGGGAGTTTGGGGTTGCGGTAAAACGTGATCAGGCCATCTAACAACTGTGAAACAGAATCAGAAACTGTGGAGGAGTCTTTTTCAAAGTGGATTAAGTACACTTTCAGACTACTGGATTCTCTCAGTTTCTTCAGTTCGAGCAGATGTTGCAAGAACTGCAAGTGAGAAGATGGAGGATTCTCCAGGGTGGTGCACGGCTTTTTCTCAAGAGGCAGTGGTAGAAGGGATGGGGGACTACAGCTCTCCACAACATGCTGGGACAGCTCTGCAGAGTCACTTCTTTGCTCATTTGATAAAACACATCCAGAGTCATCCATCAAAGCCAGTGTGTTTTCAGAACTTGTAGGCTCCTGATCTGGCAACGGGGGGAACACATCATGTCCTAAAACAGGAAGATGCAAAAGCATTATCTTCCTGTGGCTAGGTGTCTTAAAAAACGATACAATGATTCTATTCTAAATGAAAATACTACATAAAACATACAAATGTACATAACCATTTAGCAAAACAGAAATTGTTTAGTTTGACTAAAGAAATGGTTTTAGGCATTTTCAGTTAGGTCTCTCATTCAACTACAAGCATGTTCCTCCCTGCAGAACTGAAACCGTTTTTTAAAGGATTTGTTTTATTTTTGATTGTATGTATGTGTCTTACATGGCTATGTATACCTCAGTGCAGTGTGCAGAGGTATCAGATCCCTCTGGAGCTGGAGTTACAGGTGGTTGTGAACCACAAAATGTGGTTCCGAGACACTCTGCAAGAGCAGCAAGTGCTCCTAATCACTGAGCACTTCTTCATCCCCAATTGGCACAATTTTGAAACAAGTATTTCCATCCATGTGTATCTTAGAAGAGAGCAATACTCAAACTGACCATTAACTATCTATCCTGGCTGCTTTATTTTAATACACTCAGCAAAGTGTCATGGGAGTGCATATTGGAGATGAGAACATGAAAAATCAGACACAGAGAAGATCCTAGGAGAAAGCCTAACTATTATTAGTTTGCCAAAGCAATATAACAATAAATATCCCCTAATGGCATGGTTCTATAGCTATAGGCCAAGGCCTCACTCACTGCTCACAAGAGAAGATTTTTCTTGCAGTAGATGGGAATTAACACAGAGACCCATAGTTTGACAAAGTGTCAATGAACGACTCCGGAGACCTAAATGTCTTCATCAAATCCCTTTGAGGCTCAGGGATCTATCTGGAAGAGGAGGAGGAAAGATGGTGAGAGCGAGAGGTGATTGATGACTTTGAAAAATCAGTATCTGCAGACTCAACAGGACGGATGCACAGATGAACTCAGAGAGACTGTGGCAACATGTACAAGGTCTGCACAGGCTCAAGCTTTAAGCATTCCCTGCACTGTGAGGGGGAAGTAGACACTGGATCCCATTCCTCATCAAGAAGCTATTTGTAATTGATAAAATGCTGGCAAAGGGGAAATCAGTTTTCTCAAATGAGTGTCACTGGGAATATCAACCACAGTCCAGGGCAGACGCCAGGCACACGAGTCGTTGATTAACACAGAAGAACTCCATGTTGTTTTTGTGGAAGTTTGATTCCATTTTGGAGGATTTTTTTTCCTTAATTTTTTTGATATTCATTTTTATAGTTTTATGATGTCTTTTCGGGGGAAAGAGAGGAGAAAGAACATAAAGTTGGGTGGGTAGGAAGGTGGGAAGGATCTGAGAGGAGTTTGCGGATGGCAAAACATAATCAAAATATATTGTATGAAAACAATTTTAAATAAAAAATATTAACAAAGAAACAAACAAACAAACAAATACCCTGGACAATGAAGGAGCAATGATTTAGTTCCTAGACACTTATAACCTACCGAAATTAAATCAAAGAAATATAAACAACCTAAACAGATTCATAAAAAGTAACAAGACTGAAGCAGTAATAAAATGTCTGCCATCAAAGAAAAGTCCAGACCTGGACAGATTCAAGGCTAAATTCTACCCTACATTTTAGGAGGAACTAACATCAATACTCTTCAAACCATTCCACAAAGTAAAAAGGAAAGACACTGTGCAAATTCATTCTATGAAGTCAGTATTGTTCTGATACCTAAAGTAGATAAGGATACAACAACAGTAACAAAAATAAAAAAAGAAAAATAGGAAAAGAAAAAGAAAAAGAAAACCTACAGACCAGTTTTCCTAATAAATAATCCAGGGTACTGGCAGGAAAGATCATTAACAGTTTTACCCAGCTCTGGCCTCTGTGAGCTACAAGACCAAGATGACCACCATGATCTGTCCACTGGTGAAATAGTGGCATGACTGTTTGGGTGGTCACCAACTACCTTCTGATTAGATTCAAAACCAGCTCCCTGGGAAGATAATCCATGCCTAGAATTATAAACTTGGCCAAAACCCAATCCCAGGAGGCCACAGGCCAGTTTGGGGGAAGGGGAAGTACTACTGATGTTTTGCTACATGGACCCAAAGTCAAACTGTCTTCTAAACATTTGTATTTATACTTACAGACTAATGCTGTTCTCAAACTTGGTTAAAGAGTTGTTTTGTTTTGTTTTATTTTTTTGTAATGGGCAACAGTTAGTACAGAGACCCTTAAATGGTCAAAGTATTAAGAATAAGTGAGTGTTAAGTGTGCAGCTCTCAACACAGCATCTGTTAATATCCCTCCAAGACCCAGGAAATGGTGTGGAAGAGAAGAAAGAGTATAAGACCCAGAGGATGAGGAAGAGTGCTATGAAATACTGTCTCTAATAGATGTCCCATGGTTGTTACAATCATAAACATAGAGCAGCCAAGGATACCTGTACAAGACCACACACACACACACACACACACACACACACACACACACACAGAGAGAGAGAGAGAGAGAGAGAGAGAGAGAGAGAGAGAGAGAGAGAGATTGACATAAAAAAGGGAATAGTTTGCAACAACAACGGGTTCAGAAAGCATGGAGGAAGATAAGATGGTAATGGGAATAAATACAATTACAATATTCATTCATGAAATTTTCAGAACATGATCTAAAATTGAAAGTGGTAATGGCTGCACAATCCTTTGAATATGTTGCATTAAAAGACATTGAATTGTATAAATAGGCAAATTGTATGCTACATGAATTATTTACCAATAATGATTTTCTTAAAGAAAATTATAGCAAACTGAATTCAAGAAAACATTAAGAAGATCATACACCACGACTAAGCTGCTTTCATTCCAGGAATGCAAGATTGTTTCAGCATATTCAAATAACACATGCTATTATCAACAATCCTATAGTACATTCTATGCTGAATGGAAAACTGAGAACAATTCTTCTAAAATCTGGAAGAAGATGAAGGTGCTCACTCTCTCCACTTCTTTTTAATATAGTACTTGAAGTCTTGGTGGAGTAATAGGACAAGAGAAAGAAATAAAAGGGAAAGCAATAAACAAAATGAAATACAAATGGTAAAGAAAGAAGCCACAGTATGCATAATTACAGATGGTATGATCCAGGATTTAAAATATAGTAAAGACTCCAACTAGAAAATTGACACCATGTTCAGCAGAGTAGAAGTACACACAATCAAAACACAAAAACCAGTAGTTTTTCTATATGCTAGAAATTAACTGAAGAAAAAAGTAGTTCATACACTATGTCTTCAAAAATTCAAATACCTAGGAATAAACTTAACAAAGGGACGAAGACCTATACTTTGAAAACACTTACGTAAGAAATCGAAGAATTCACTAGAAGATGGAAAGATCTCCTATAATCATAGACTAGCAGAATAATGTGAAAATGACCATATTACTGAAAATAATCTATAGATTAAGGCAATTTCCATTAAAATGCTAACTATTTTCTTCTGTGGAATGGTCTGTATGTCAAATCTGTTGCTCTGATTGGTAATAAATAAAACACTGATTGGACGGTGGCCAGACAGGAAGTATAGGCAGGACTAACAGAGAGGAGAATTGAGAGAACAGGAAGGTGGGGGGGGGGAGACACTGCCAGGCGCCACCATGACAAGCAGCATGTGAAGATGCGGGTAAGCCACAAGCCACGTGGCAACGTATAGATTTATAGAAATGGATTAATTTAAGATATAAGACCAGTTAGCAAGAAGCCTGCCACAGCCATACAGTTTGTATGCAATATAAGTCTCTGTGTTTACTTGGTTGGGTCTGAGCGGCTGTGGGACTGGCGGGTGACAGAGATTTGTCCTGACAGTGGGCCAGGCAGGAAAACTCTAGCTACAATTTTCCTCTCAGAATGAGAGAAAAAATAGGGAAGCACAAAAACTCCAAACAATCGTACACCAAGCAGAAAGAGGAACGCTAGAGACATAATAATCCCTGTCTCAAGCTATACTACAGAGCCACAGTAGCAACACTACACGGTAGTGGTGCAAAGTCAGACATGTAAAAAGAACAGAGAAACTAGATAGAAGTCCTCAAAGAAACAGCCAGAGGACTTTAGAAAAAGATGTCAAAAATACATTGGAGAAAAGATAGCCTTTCCAACAAATGATACTGAAAAACTGAGTTTCTACACAAGAAGAATGAAATGAGATCCACATCTCTCACTCTGCATAAAAGGCAACTCAAACAATAAAGGCCTTAATGTAGGACTTCAAATTCTGAAACTATTAGAGGAAATCTTAAGAAAAATCCTTCAAGATAGAAGCACAAGCAAGGATGCCAATAACTCAAGAAATTACACCAAAAAAAATGAACATAAGATTGTATAAAATTATGAGGCTTCTGCACAGGAAAAGAAAAAAAAAAAAACTTGCCTGAGTAAATAGAAATCCTACTGAAAGAGAGGATCATTTTTAATTTACTATTGTGCTGAAAATAGCAACTTTCCAACTTGTATATATGATCTTCCTAACATGTTAATTGGTAGATTTAATAGAGATAGAGTGTGCATAAACAAATTGACATTGTACTCTAATAAACATTACATACTCAATAAACATAAACCACTGCTATAAAAAACTAGTATACCTAAGAAATCTATAGTGAAATATGTATCATATACAAAAATTGAGAGAATGAGATATTAACTAAAAGCTGTAACAAACACTACCTACAGATTCTCTCTACAAATTTTATATGTGTCTCTTACATAATGAATCATATAGATATTCTATTTCATTTTGCTGAACCATAGGCCTTACATTGATCTGTTTTTAAATTCTAATTTAAAGCCATTTATCATTTGAAAAATAGATCTCAATAATATTCCACAAAATAAAGTGTGTGCCTTCCTGTAACATACCTTGTCATAGAAATATTTCCCCAAATGTCCAGAAGGAAGGAGGAAATGTCCCTTACTAGAACAGAATGAGTTTTTCTTTTCTAGTCATGCATTCACCTTATTGGATGAGGCAACCCAAT